TGGTCCAGTCCTGGTGTTTTTCCTTGTTGATAACCTCTCTCTCTCTCTGTCTCTTGTTTTCCACAGCGGTGCTTTGGTGAGTGAAGATGAGAGTCCTGGTCCTGCTGGTCCTTCTGTCTCTGGGCAGGTCCAGTCCACACGAGCCCAGGCCGGTCCTGGACCTGATCCGGGACTATGAGACTCTGATGGCCGACCGGGGGCAGGAGCTGGACCCGGGGGAGGACATGATGGCCGACGACGATGACGACGACGATGATGATGATGACGATGACGACGACGATGATGAAGATGAGGACTGTCCTTCTGGATGTCGCTGTTCTCCTGGGGTGGTCCAGTGCTCGGACAAAGGTCTGGGTCCACTTTTTTTTACACAGTTCATTTCTTGCAAACGTTGGATTTGTGATTTATGTGCTTTAAGTTTCCCGTTTTAAACACGTCCACGCTGCACATTTCTCTGATCTTTTTAAATTATATCAGATTATTCAGATTTGTTAGATCAGGTTTCAGATTGTTTTTCGGCGTGTAAGTAGCACCGGATTATCAGGCGTTTTAAGTGAAACAAACGGACGACACTTGACACTGACCCTTCGCCCGGGCGTCCGCGATCCACCGGCAGATGATTTCGTTACTCGCCCGGCGTCGCCTCCCCGTCCAGGTGAACGTGTTTTTGCGGCGGCCGTAACGCTCCGACGGTCCATCGAGCCGCTCTGGTTTGCGTCGAGTTTTGAAAGTTCATTACGGGCGAGATGATAAACCGCAGCCACGTGAACTAAACATGAGTGTAAAGTGTAAAGTAAAAGGTGCAAATGATTCTTGTTTGCTGTTTGTCGTTAGTCTCCAAGTCTCACGATACGATACAGTCAGAAGCTCAAGGTACGACATTTACTGCGATATTTTGAAGAGGCTGATAAAACTGTAAATCAGACACGTGTTTGCGTTTAAAATACCACGACGAGATTTTGGTGTGAATTATTTCCGTCACAATCCTAAGAATTCAAGTAAAAAACATATTTGTACATGTTTTCTGCGCTGAGATGAATCATGTTGGTCCAGATGTGATGGGAACTGAGTGTCGTTCGTTCATTCGTTTTTCAATATAAAACCAAAAATAAGAAAACAAAAAACAACAGTTTTCTTCATTATTTGTCTCCAAAACCAAAATGAAAAAACAGATAATGATTCGTTTTTTCAGTTTTTGATTTTGTGTTTAAATGAAAAATGGAAAAAACGGATAACGACTGTTTACGTGACTTCAGTGACTGTGATGCCGGAATTTTGCATCGTGTACGGACTGAACCAGGACTGATCCAGGTCCGAGACCAGACCAAAACCAGACCAGGACTGAGACTGAGACCAGTGGTCCGAGTGGTTCCGTGTCGTCGTCTGTGCGCTGGTTCCGTGTGGACGAGCTGCTGGTTCTGAGGTGGAGCAAAACATCAAACTGACACTTTCACACCAACGAAAACAAACCGAACTAAGAGCTTTTGGTTCAAATGGACCAGGTCCAGGACCAGACTGGGACCAGACCAGGACCAGACCAGGACCATTTATCTGTGTGTAAATTGGATTAAATGAACAGAATGTAGAGAGTCTAAGATTTATAACGACGTATCACATGACCACGGGAAATATCGGCCCATATCAGCAAACATATCGGCCGATATGTCTCCAGGTGCCCATATCAGCTGATAATATCGGTCAACCGATATATCGGTCGGGCTCTACATAAGATGCACTGTGGAGTTTTGAGAAAATTAAAGGATCCAAAAAAATACAGTCCTGGTTCTGAGACGCTTCGTTCTCGTCGAGACGTCGTTTATTTGAAGAGAACTTGTCTGGTAAAATGATTTTGCCGCACGATCATTTCACTTCTTTTCAGTCATTTTCTGATAAATTTAAGGGTTTTTAAATCTTACATTTTTGCGGCGCACAAGAAAGACTGAAATCTAAACGGACAAACTAACGCAAGAATCCCGTTTCAGAACAAGTTTGCGCAGATCTAAACTACAGGATCGGGAGCTTTTTTCGCCAAATCAGACAGGAGATTTTGTCATTTTTGGAGGAAATTCAGGTACTTGAACTTGTCCAGGTTTGTTCTGGTTCGTCCATCAACATAAAACACGTCGTGAGCTGGAGCTGGTCCCTGGGCGTCCGTGGGAGAAGACGAGTCCGAGGAAGCGTCTGGAGCCGGACTCAAACTCACGCACAACTTTCCGTCGTTTTTTTTTTTTTTTTTTTTTTAGTTTTGTGGAAATTCTGAAGTCGCTTTTTTGTCGCGAAACAAGTTTGTTCTGCAATTTATGAGAAAGTGCAGGGTCCAAAACCTCAAATTTTCAGAAACAGATCAAGATTTTATGAGTCATGTTTATTTATTTTGTTTTTTTGTTCATTTTGTGTCTTGGAATCTGCTCTGTTCTTGAAAAAATCATGTTTCTGTTGATGATAAATAATTGATCCATCGTCCAAAACCTGTGCACAGGTTTGATCTCGGTTCCAGAGAAGATTCCCCTGGACACGGTGATGCTCGACCTCCAGAACAACGACATCACCCAGGTCAAAGAGGACGACTTCAAAGGCCTGACAGCGCTTTACGTAAGAACTCAACCAGGACTAACTCAGAACTCAACCAGGACTAACTCAGAACTCAACCAGGACTAACTCACAACTCAACCAGGACTAACTCAGAACTCAACCAGGACTAACTCAACCAGGACTAACTCAGAACTCAACCAGGACTAACTCAACTCAAACTCAACTCAACTCAGGACTAACTCAGAAACTCAACCAGGACTAACTCAACTCAACCAGGGACTAACTCAACCAGGACTCTCAACTCAACCAGACTACTCAAACTCAACCAGGTCTACTAACTCAACCAGAACTCAGACTCAACTCAGGGTCTAACTAACTCAGGACTAACTCAAACTCAACCAGGTCTAACTCAGAACTCAACCAGGACTAACTCAAACTCAACCAACTAACTCAGAACTCAACCAGGACTAACTCACAACTCAACCAGGACTAACTCACAACTCAACCAGGACTAACTCAGAACTCAACCAGGACTAACTCAGAACTCAACCAGGACTAACTCAGAACTCAACCAGGACTAACTCAGAACTCAACCAGGACTAACTCAGAACTCAACCCAGGACTAACTCACAACTCAACCAGGACTAACTCAGAACTCAACCAGGACTAACTCAGAACTCACTCTCCAACTCAACCAGGACTAACTCAGAACTCAACTCAACCAGGACTAACTCACAACTAACTCAAACTCAACCAGTAACTCAGAAACAAAGTAACTAAACTCTAAATGAACCAACATAAACAGTCTGATAATATAATAATAATAATAATAAAAAAAATAATAAAATTAAACTTTGGCACATTTGTTAAATTAAAACACATTTGTTTGGTGCCGTATGAAAGGTCTTTTTCTGGTCTTTCAAGAAAAAAATATTTAAAAAATGTCATCACTGCCCACTAGAGGTGTGCAAACTCAACCAGGAATGTTGAAATATCGATATATCGTATCGCTTAATTTACAGATACAGTATCGATATCGTGGGCTGCTGTATCGATATATCGCCAAGAGTATTTTTTGGTATATTTTACTCAATTATTAATTTAAATATTTATATTTATAATACGTTTTTGTTACAGCTACAGTTTTGTTGCTTTTTCAGTGGAAAGAAACTCGTTTATGCGACACATTTGACATTTTCACTGTTTTGATGATTAAAATGTTTGTGTTTCATATGAACTTTGCACAAGAAGAAGTGGTTTAACAAACACTTTTAGTATCACAGCCATAATTTAGCCTTTATTTTTATTGAACTGTTTGGAATCAATTTGAAATATATCGTACCGAAACAAAAGTGCACTGTATCGAGGTGTGTATCGTATCGTGGCCTGTGTATCGAGGTGTGTATCGTATCGTGGCCTGTGTATCGGGTATGTATCGTATCTGTATCGTGTGTATCGTATCGTGGCCTGTGTATCGGGTGTGTATCGTATCGTGGCCTGTGTATCGGGTGTGTATCGTATCGTGGCCTGTGTATCGGGGTGTATCGTAGTCGTGTATCGAGGTGTGTATCGTATCGTGGCCTGTGTATCGGGTGTATCGTATGTGTATCGTATCGTGTGCCTGTGTATCGTGTATCGTATCGTGGCCTGTGTATCGTAGGTGTGTATCGTATCGTATCGTGCCTGTGTATCGAGGTGTGTATCGTATCGTGGCCTGTGTATCGAGGTGTGTATCGTATCGTGGCCTGTGTATCGTATGTATCGTGTGTGTGTATCGTGTGTATCGTATCGTGGCCTGTGTATCGGGTGTGTATCGTATCGTGGCCTGTGTATCGAGGTATGTATCGTGGCCTGTGTATCGGGGTGTGTATCGTATCGTGTGTGTATCGAGGTGTGTATCGTATCGTGGCCTGTGTGTATCGGGTGTGTATCGTATCGTGGCCTGTGTATCGAGGTGTGTATCGTATCGTGGCCTGTGTATCGTGTGTATCGTATCGTGGCCTGTGTATCGGGTGTGTATCGTATCGTGGCCTGTGTATCGAGGTGTGTATCGTATCGTGGCCTGTGTATCGGGGTGTGTATCGTATCGTGGCCTGTGTATCGGGATATGTATCGTATCGTGGCCTGTGTATCGTATGTATCGTATCGTGGCCTGCGTATCGTGTATCGTATGTGTATCGTATCGTGGCCTGTGTATCGGGGTATGGTATCGTATCGTGGCCTGTGTATCGAGGTGTGTATCGTATCGTGGCCTGTGTATCGTGGCATGTATCGTATCGTGGCCTGTGTATCGGGGTGTGTATCGTATCGTGGCCTGTGTATCGAGGTGTGTATCGTATCGTGGCCTGTGTATCGGGGTATGTATCGTATCGTGGCCTGTGTATCGGGGTGTGTATCGTATCGTGTGTATCGGGTGTGTATCGTATCGTGCCTGTATATCGGGTGTGTATCGTATCGTGGCCTGTGTATCGTGGTGTATCGTATCGTGATCGTGTGATCGTATCGTGCCTGTGTATCGAGGTGTGTATCGTATCGTGCCTGTGTATCGAGGTGTGTATCTGTGTATCGAGGTGTGTATCGTATCGTGGCCTGTGTATCGTATCGTATCGGTAACTTCTTAATGATACCAGCCCGACTGCCCACAGGCCATAATGACACGTGAACATTGGACCATGTGGTGTTTTCTTGTTTTTAACAGGAGCCTCACACATAAACTATTTCAAATGTTCAACATTTGGTGATTTTTTTTGAACAGTTTTAGTACAAATCTTGATTCTCAAAAAAACATAAGCGTCTCCGGCATCTACAAGTAGGTTTAAAAAGGGACTAAAAATGGTACGGCCACGGAGATGAGTTGTTTTTTTTTTCATTTTTAAGTTCATATAAAACAGGAAAGTCAAACTCATTTTGGTCCAACCGACTTTGATCCAAAGTGTCCGGATCAGAAAACTCATGTCATATAAACCCCAAAAATAACAAGAAGTTCAAATATTTGTGCAGAGAAACACAAATCTATTACAGAAATCTTTTTTAATTGATGAACTCTTTCTTTTACAAAATATTATAATATTATGAACAACCTGAAACTTTAATAAAAATACAATTTCAACACAAAGTTTGAACATGAACTTGTAGGCCAGGGGGTCCAAACCTTTTTCATCATATTTAAAGACAGATGAAGCAGAGGACGATCGAGGGCTGGAGACTGACGCTCATTACACTGAAAAACTGAAATATGTGCAGGTGTCAAAGGTCAGAATGAACCGTCGACTTTATTCATGCTCAGATCCTTCAAACCAAACACTAAATATTAAATATTAGCTTCATCAAGGTAGATTTAAAAAAAAAAAAAAAAAAGCAATTTAAAGTTATTTTTTCATTACAAGGTCATTTGGTCTAAACCAGGTTCAGTCCTGGTTTAGTCCTGGTTTAGTCCTGGTTTAGACCTGGTTTAGTCCTGGTTTAGACCTGGTTTAGACCTGGTTTAGACCTGGTTTAGTCCTGGTTTAGACCTGGTTTAGTCCTGGTTTAGTCCTGGTTTTAGTCCTGGTTTAGTCCTGGTTTAGTCCTGGTTTAGTCCTGGTTTAGTCCTGGTTTAGACCTGGTTTAGTCCTGGTTTAGTCTTGGTTTTAGTCCTGGTTTAGTCCTGGTTTAGTCCTGGTTTAGAGTCCTGGTTTAGTCCTGGTTTAGTCCTGGTTTAGTCTGGTTTAGTCCTTTTAGTCCTGTTTAGTCCTGGTTTAGTCTGGTTTAGACCTGGTTTAGTCCTGGTTTAGTTTTCCTGGTTTAGTCCTGGTTTAGTCCTGGTTTAGTCCTGGTTTAGTCCTGGTTTAGACCTGGTTTAAGTCTGGTTTAGTCCTGGTTTAGACCTGGTTTAGTCCTGGTTTAGACCTGGTTTAGTCCTGGTTTAGTCCTGGTTTAGTCCTGGTTTAGTCCTGGTTTGTTTAGTCCTGGTTTTGTGATCGGTCAAAAGTTTTAATATGGAAACAGCAGAAGCATCGAAAAAAAACAACGAAAGGAAACGATGATTTTTTTTAGCCTTTTTTTTTTTTTTTTTTTACTGATTTGAAATTCAGCGTCTAAAAACATTTGTCATTTCACAGGACAATAATTTTGTAAATTCTTGTTGAAATCAGCTCAAATTTCTACACAATGTTTAGAAACAGAAGAAGATTTGATGCGTCCTGTTTGATTTTTGTTTTGTGTTTTGGATTCTGCTGCTCAAACTCAAACTCAAACTTCAGCGTTTAAACATTTGGAAAAAATTCACCCATAATTTGTTTTCCAGACGCTGAAGTTTTTCCAGATTTTGCAGCGACTTCAGCAGATTCCAAAACGCAAAAACTGACTTCTGTTTGAGAGAGAAAACGAACTGAAAACACGACGGAAACAAAACGTCACGTGTGAAAATCTTCAACTGTTTCTGAGAAAATCTGACGTTTGTGGTTCAAATCAAATCGTTCACAATAAATTTAACCCACGTAAAAAAAATAAATAAATAAAAAAAAAAAAAAAAGTGATGAAGTGTGTTTTATTACGTTTTCTTCTGTAGGATTAAAACCAGAACTAAACCAGGACTAAACCAGGACTAAACCAGGACTAAACCAGGTCTAAACCAGGACTAAACCAGGACTAAACCAGGTCTAAACCAGGTCTAACTAAACCAGGTCTAAACCAGGTCTAAACCAGGTCTAAACCAGGAAACTAAACCAGGACTAAACCAGGACTAAACCAGGATAAACCAGGTAAACCAGGACTAAACCAGGACTAAAGCTAGGACTAAAAGAGGTCCGAGACTAAACCAGACGGGACTGAGACCGGGACCAGACCAGGACTGAAAACGGTTTAGTCCTGTTTCAGTCCTGGTTCAGTCCTGGTTTAGTCCTGGTTTAGTCCTGGTTTAGTCCTGGTTTAGTCCTGGTTTAGACCTGGTTTAGTCCTGGTTTAGACCTGGTTTAGTCCTGATTCAGTCGAATGAACGAATGATCCACAGATTCTTCTCCTTCACAGAATGCAGCCGATGTTTTTCAAATATTACCACTTTATTTTGACACAACTTTATTCTCTTAAAATTATGACTTTATTCTCTTAAAATTATGACTTTATTCTCTTAAAATTACGACTTTATTCTCTTAAAATTACGACTTTATTCTCTTAAAATTACGACTTTATTGTCTTAAAATTACGACTTTATTCTCTTAAAATTACGACTTTATTCTCTTAAAATTACGACTTTATTCTTTAAAATTCTCATAAAATTACGACTTTATTCTCTTAAAATTATGACTTTATTCTCTTAAAATTATTACGACTTTATTCTCATTAAAATTACGACTTTATTCTCTCTTAAAATTACGACTTTATTCTCTTAAAATTACGACTTTATTCTCTTAAAATTACGACTTTATTCTCTTAAATTACGACTTTATTCTCTTAAAATTACGACTTTATTCTCATAAAATTACGACTTTATTCTCTTAAAATTATGACTTTATTCTCTTAAAATTACAATTTTATTCTCATAAAATTACGACTTTATTCTCATAAAATTACGATTTTATTCTCTTAAAATTACGACTTTATTCTCATAAAATTACGACTTTATTCTCTTAAAATTACGACTTTATTCTCTTAAAATTACGACTTTATTCTCTTAAAATTACGACTTTATTCTCATAAAATTACGATTTTATTCTCATAAAATTACGACTTTATTCTCTTAAAATTACGACTTTATTCTCATAAAATTACGATTTTATTCTCTTAAAATTACGACTTTATTCTCTTAATATCATGACTTTAATGTCGAAATGTTTCGACTTTATTCTCGTAGCATGTTTTTTTTTTTTTTTATCTGACCCTTTTACTCCGTCGTAAGATTCACAATTTTAACACTTTTTTTTTATTAATTTACGCCGACGTCACAAACCTGGAGAGAAACAGTTTAGAGGATTTTTTTTTTTTTTTTTTAAAGCTCTTAGTCTCGTCCTGGTGTTTTATTTTTTTTTGTTGTTGTTGTTGTTGTTTTTTCTTCCCAGGGTTTGTTCCTGAACAACAACGCTCTGTCCAAGATCCACCCTCGGGCCTTCAGGGACCTGCACCGCCTCAAGCTCCTGTACCTGTCCTACAACCACCTGACGGACCTGCCCCAGAACCTGCCCCCCAACCTGTCCGAGCTGCGCTTCCACGAGAACCACATCCAGCGCATCAAGAGGGACGCCTTCAAAGGACTACGGAGACTCAACGTGCTGGGTCAGGACCGGGACTGGACCGGGACTGGACCGGGACTGGACCAGGACTAAAACAGGACTAAAACAAGACTAAAACAAGACTAAAACAAGACTAAAACAAGACTGAAACAAGACTGAAACAGAACCACATCCAGCGCATCAAGAGGGACGCCTTCAAAGGACTACGGAGACTCAACGTGCTGGGTCAGGACCGGGACTGGACCGGGACTGGACCGGGACTAAAACAGGACTGGACCAGGTCTGGACCAGGACTGGACCGGGACTAGACCAGGACTGGACCAGGACTAAACCAGGACTAAAACAGGACTGGACTGGACCAGGACTGGACCAGGACTGGACCAGGACTGGACCGGGACTAAAACGGGACTAAAACGGGACTAAACCAGGACTAAACCAGGACTGAACCAGGACTAAACCAGGACTAAACCAGGACTAGACCAGGACTGAACCAGGTGTCAAAAGAGACGCCTTCAAAGGACTACGGAGACTCAACGTGCTGGGTCAGGACCAGGACTAGACCAGGACTAGACCAGGACCCCAAACCACCACGAGTTTTTAATCACAGTCCCACTTCGTTTGTTCTGGTCTTTATTTTTCGTCTCGTCCACTGTTCAGTTATTTTATTACTTTCACTTTTGTACGATTAAAACCCAGAGAGTCCAGACCCAGTCCCAGTTTTGAGCCTGTGTCCCCTGTCCCAACTAATTTATATAAAACCAGGACTAAACCGGGATTAAACCAGGTCTATTTCAGGTCTAAATCAGGTCTAAACCAGAACTAAACCAGGACTAAACCAGGTCTTTTTCAGGCCTAAATCAGGTCTAAAGCAGGGCTAAACTAGAGCTAAAATTAGAACTATATTAGAACTATACCAGGTCTAAACTAGGTCTAAACCAGAACTGAACCAGGTCTAAAGCAAGCCTAAATCAGGTCTAAACCAGGAGTAAAGCAGGTCTAAACCAGGACTGAAAAAGGATTAAACCAGGACTAAAACAGATCTAAAAAATGTGTAAAACAGGTCTAAACCAGAACTGAACCAGGACTGAGTGTCGGGACTCGGTCTCGGTCTCTGTCCGTCTTTCGAGCCCAAGATTAGTCCTGGTTTATTTATTTTCTGTTGAACTACAGACAAACATTAAAGTTTAGTTTGTAATTAATGATGTGTGTAAATGTCGATCATTCACACCTCTGTTCACAGCTCATTTACATTAATGCAGGTCACACACAAGGAGCATTTAATCGAAAACGAACGACCTCGTGAAAAAAAATCAGACTCAGAGTGACCGGATTTCAAATTCAGAAACTAAAACACGCCGCAAAAAAGTTCAGATGACTTGAATTAAGAAAGTTTTATCATGACTTGAGTAAATTTCACGTGACACATAAAATTATCTGCCATTGGAACAAGACTTTTGTACGAAAAATATGAAAATCTGTCTCGCTGCACTTTGAGATAAAAGAACTAAATGTAAAGAAAACTTCCACTGGTCGATCATTTCACTCAAATAAAGTCAAATGTTCTTTCATTTAAGTCATTTTCGTTTAACTACACATTGTTAGTTTTTTTCCAGCGCTCGGCTCGTTTGTGGTTTTGGGTCATAATAAAACTGTAAAACGAGCGTCATTAAACCAAACTGTTCACGAGTCAGGACACTCACGTTCTCTTTGTGTTTGCTCATTTTTAAAGCAGATTTTTTGTATTTTACGCAAAGAAATTTATGTCTCTCTGTCCAAAACAGAGACACCTGAAACATTTCTTGTTAAATTCTGAACTAATTAATTCAGATTAAAAAAACTCATGTAAACACTGTGATGTTTTTTGTTGTTTTTCTCAGAGCTCGGGGCGAATCCTCTGACCAACTCTGGACTGGAGCTCGGAGCTTTTAACGGGATGTCCACCCTGTACCTCGGACTGTCTGAGACCAAACTCACCAGTGTCCCCAAAGGTACAGACCAGGACTAGACCAGGACTAGACCAGGACTAGACCAGGACGAGACCACGACTAGACCAGGACTAGACCAGGATGAGACCAGGACGAGACCAGGACTAGACCAGGACGAGACCAGGACTAGACCAGGACTAGACCAGGACTAGACCAGGACTAGACCAGGACTAGAAAGACAGACCAGGACTAGAAGGACCAGACTAGAAAGGACTAGAACAGGACTAGACCAGGACGAGACCAGGACTAGACCAGGACTAGACCAGGACGAGACCAGGACTAGACCAGGACTAGAACAGGACTAAACCGGGACTGAAAAAGTACTAAAATGGGACAGATGGTCTGGTGGGGGGGGTTTTCCCTCACGGGGCCCGACTGGGTTCAACCCAAAAGAGCGACGTGGGTCCGTCCTGGTGTGGACCCACCACCTGCAGGAGGATCCATGTGGGGTCGGTGCAGAGACCTGAGTGGTGGTGGGAGGCGAGGACCTCGACGACCAGATCTGTGGACATGGAGACTGTGTCTCTGGGACATGGAGACTGCGTCTCTGGGGACATGGAGACTGCGTCTCTGGGACATGGACACTGCGTCTCTGGGGACATGGAGACTGCGTCTCTGGGGACATGTCTCCTCACTGTGGTGTCGCCTACGGGCCCAACAGCGGTGCAGAGTACTCGAGTACCCGACCTTCTGCCAGACCCTGGGAGGGACTAGACGCACCGACCAGAGACTCTGTTGTTCTACTGGGGACTTCAACGTCCACGTGGACAACGACAGTGACTCTTGGAGAGAGGAGATCAGGAGGAACGTTCTCCTGATCTGAACCTGAGTCGTGTTCAGTTATTGGACTTTTGTGTGAGTCACAGTTTGTCCAGAACCAACACCATGTTCAGCACAAGGTCCATCAGTGCACAGGCACCAGGACACTCCAGGCTGGAGGTCGATGATCCACTTTGTCGTTATATCATGTGACCTCTGGTCGTGTGTCTTGGACACTTGGTGAAGACAGGGACAGAACTGTAGAGCTCCACCTGGTGGTGAGTTGGATTCGCTGGTGGAGGAGGAGGCTGGACAGACCTGGCAGGTCCAAGTGTACAGTGAGGGTCTGTTGGGAACATCTGGTGGAGACTCGGTCAGAGGAACCTTCAACTCACACCTCCAGGAGAACTTCTCCCAGATTCCAGGGGAGTCTGGGGACATGGAGTCTGAGTGGCCTTCGTCCTCGGCCTCAGTTAAATCATGTTATATTTTTGTTTTTCCTTGTTTTTCAGATTGTCCGTCGTCCATGAACGAGATCAACCTGGATTATAACCAGATCACCAAGGTGGAGCTGGAGGACTTCCTCAGATACAAGAGTCTGCAGAGGTACGACACAAACAACAGTCCACCTCATCAGGGCTGAACCACCAGGACTTATGTTTTCATGAACAAAGTTCACGGTTTAAACCAGAAGGATTCACAAAAAACAAGAATCACATTTCAGAACATGTTTGAACAGATCGAAACTTCAGACTCAGACGGTTTCAGGCAGAAAAACACCAGGTTTTGTCGTTTGTGGAGGAAAATTACAGGACAAAAACTGCAGCAAATTCACGACAAATTTATACAAAACCACTGATTTGTCCAAGTTTAATACAAGAAATGTCCCAGTCTCTCTATTTTGGACCAATCAGGACCAAACTAAGACTAAACCAGGACTACATCAGGTCTAAACCAGGACTAAACCAGGACTTCATCAGGTCTAAACCAGGACTAAATCAGGTCTAAACCAGGACTAAACCAGGACTACATCAGGTCTAAACCAGGACTAAACCAGGACTACATCAGGTCTAAACCAGGACTAAACCAGGACTACATCAGGTCTAAACCAGGACTATCATAATTTTTGATAAATCTGATCCTCACCAACAGTAAAGAGCAGCATAAAATGTTTTGCCAAAAATAAAGAAAACCGAGTTTGCAAATGACCAAATGTCTCTGTTCCTCTGTGTCTCTCTGTCCTTTCTGTCTCTGTGTCTCTCTGTGTCTCTGTGTCTTTGTGTCTCTGTGTCTCTGTCTCTGTGTGTCTCTGTGTCTTTGTGTCTCTGTGTCTTTGTGTGTCTGTCTCTCTGTGTCTCTGTGTGTCTCTGTCTCTCTGTCTCTGTCTCTCTGTGTCTCTGTGTGTCTCTGTCTCTCTGTCTCTGTGTCCTCTGTGTCTCTGTGTCTCTGTGTCTTTGTGTCTCTGTGTGTCTGTCTCTCTGTGTCCTCTGTGTCTGTGTCTCTGTTTGTCCTCTGTCTCTGTGTCTTTGTGTCTCTGTGTCTCTGTGTGTCTGTCTCTCTGTGTCCTCTGTGTCTGTGTCTTTGTGTCTCTGTGTCTTTGTGTCTCTGTCTCTGTTTGTCCTCTGTGTCTCTGTCTCTGTGTGTCTCTGTGTGTCTCTGTGTCTGTGTCCTCTGTGTCTTTGTGTCTCTGTGTCTCTGTCTCTGTGGTCTCTCTGTGTCCTTTGTGTCTCTCTGTCTCTGTGTCTCTCTGTCTCTCTGTGTCTGTGTCTCTGTGTCTCTGTGTGTCTGTGTCTCTGTGTCTCTGTCTCTGTGTGTCTCTCTGTGTCCTTTCTGTCTCTCTGTGTCTCTGTGTCTCTCTGTGTCTGTCTCTCTGTGTCTCTGTGTCTCTGTGTCTGTGTCTGTCTGTGTCTCTGTGTCTCTGTGTCTCTGTGTCTCTGTGTCTGTGTCTGTGTGTCTGTGTCTGTGTCTCTGTCTCTGTGTCTCTGTGTCTGTGTCTGTGTCTGTGTCTCTGTGTCTGTGTCTGTGTCTGTGTCTCAGACTGGGACTGGGCTTTAACCAGATCAAGTCTGTGGAGAACGGGAGTCTGTCCAGTGTCCCGGACCTCAGAGTGATTCACCTGGATCACAACCGGCTCAAGAAGATCCCCCCAGGACTGTCCTCCCTGCAGCACCTACAGGTGAGTCCACCCGACAGGTGACGCACCTACAGGTGAGTCCACCCGACAGGTGACGCACCTACAGGTGAGTCCACCCCGACAGGTGACGCACCTACAGGTGAGTCCACCCCGACAGGTGACGCACCTACAGGTGAGTCCACCCGACAGGTGACGCACCTACAGGTGAGTCCACACCTACAGGTGAGTCCACACCGACAGGTGACGCACCTACAGGTGAGTCCACCCGACAGGTGACGCACCTACAGGTGAGTCCACCCCGACAGGTGACGCACCTACGGGTGAGTCCACCCGACAGGTGACGCACGGTGACCACCTACGGGTGAGTCCACACGACGGTGACGCACCTACGGGTGAGTCCACCCGACAGGTGACGCACCTACGGGTGAGTCCACACCGACAGGTGACGCACCTACAGGTGAGTCCACCCGACAGGTGACGCACCTACAGGTGAGTCCACCCCGACAGGTGACGCACCTACAGGTGAGTCCACCCCGACAGGTGACGCACCTACAGGTGAGTCCACCCGACAGGTGACGCACCTACAGGTGAGTCCACCCGACAGGTGACGCACCTACAGGTGAGTCCACCCCGACAGGTGACGCACCTACAGGTGAGTCCACCCCGACAGGTGACGCACCTACAGGTGAGTCCACCCCGACAGGTGACGTACAGGTGAGTCCACCCGACAGGTGACGCACCTACAGGTGAGTCCACACCGACAGGTGACGCACCTACAGGTGAGTCCACACCCGACAGGTGACGCACCTACAGGTGAGTCACACCTACAGGTGAGCGGTTGACATTTTGTTCTAACTCTCGTCTGATTGGTCGACGTCTGTTCTAACTCTCGTCTGATTGGTCGATGTCCGTTCTAACTCTCGTCTGATTGGTCGATGTCCGTTCTAACTCTCGTCTGATTGGTCGATGTCCGTTCTAACTCTCGTCTGATTGGTCGATGTCTGTTCTAACTCTCGTCTGATTGGTCGACGTCCATTCTAACTCTCGTCTGATTGGTTGACGTCCGTTCTAACTCTCGTCTGATTGGTTGACGTCTGTTCTAACTCTCGTCTGATTGGTTGACGTCCGTTCTAACTCTCGTCTGATTGGTTGACGTCCGTTCTAACTCTCGTCTGATTGGTTGCAGGTGGTTTTTCTGCACAGCAACAAGATCCGCAGCGTCGGGATGAACGACTTCTGTCCAATCAGAGACGAGGATCCTCACAGACTCTACACGACCATCAGCCTTTTCTCCAACCCCGTCAAGTACTGGGAGATCAAACCCGGAACCTTCCGCTGCGCCGCCAGCCACAAGGCCGTCCACATGCAGCACTACAGGAGATAGAACCAAGACCAAGACCAGGACCAAGACCGGACCAGGACCAGCCACAAGGCCGTCCACATGCAGCACTACAGGAGATAGAACCAAGACCAGGACCAAGACTGGGACCAGGACCAGGACCAAGACCAGGACCAGCCACAAGGCCGTCCACATGCAGCACTACAGGAGATAGAACCAAGACCAAGACCAGGACCAAGACCAGGACCAGGACCAGCCACAAGGCCGTCCACATGCAGCACTACAGGAGATAGAACCAAGACCAAGACCAGGACCAAGACCAGGACCAGGACCAGGACCAGGACCAGCCACAAGGCCGTCCACATGCAGCACTACAGGAGATAGAACCAAGACCAAGACCAGGACCAGGACAAAAACCAGGACCAGGATCAGGACCAGGACCAGGACTAAACCAGGACATAACCTCATGCTCCTCCATTCCTCCCTCAAATGTCAACCAACCATAAAGTAAACGAAGTAAAGTTCTGCGTCGACCCGTTGCGCTCTGCCGCCGTCGTTTTTTGATTCACGGTCCTGTGTCGAGGTCTGCGTCGCCGCCGCGAGGTCATTCTCCGCCACAACACCGGGAGGCGACGATAACCGGACTGTGAGGCGCATTAAAGGAAACGCGAGAGCTCGATAAGTCAGCCAAACTTTATTTTGGGAGCCGTAACGCTGCAAGTGGAGCGGCTTTGTGCTTTACTAAAGTCGTACTAAGACGTACACTCGCTTTTGGATGAAATGAAAGGACTTTAAGTGCGATTTATGCGTACGATCTGCAGACGTATAATCTCTGAAAAGGAGAGAGCTGTTTTTGTTTTGTTTTTTTCAAAATTTACAGTTTATGTAAATGAGTCGTGTGGTTTAAGTTTAGTTTGTGTAAAATGTAAACAAATGTGTCAAAACTGAATTAAACTCATTATTACTCAATGTTTACTGAAAGAAAAGAAAACAGAGGACGGTGTAGAGGACTAAACCAGGACTAAACCAGGACTAAACCAGGACTGAACCAGGACTAAACCAGGACTAAACCAGAAATGAACCAGGACTAAACCAGGACTAAACCAGGACTAAACCAGGACTAAACCAGGACTAAACCAGGACTAAACCAGGACTAAACCAGGACTAAACCAGGACTAAACCAGGACCAGGACTAAACCAGGACTAAACCAGGACTGAAAACCAGGACTGAACCAGGACTAAACCAGGACTAAACCAGAACCAGGACTAAACCAGGACTGAACTAGGACCCAGAAACCAGGACTAAACCAGGACTAAACCAGGACTAAAACCAGGACTGAACCAGGACTAAACCAGGACTAAACCAGGACTGAAACTAGGACCAGAACCAGGACTAAACCAGGACTAAACCAGGACTAAACCAGGACTAAACCAGGACTAAACCAGGACTGAACCAGGACTAAACCAGGACTAAACCAGAACTAAACCAGAACTAAACCAGAACTAAACCAGGACTAAACCAGGACGTGAAAAAAAGTGTCTGTTTCAAACTCTCTGTATCCAAAAGCTGCTTGGGTTTGGGTTTGGTCTTTCCAAATATTCATCAAACTGAAAAAGTAAATGTTTTGTATTTTTAAATTTCAAAACCAAAATGTTGTTTCGTTTCAGTCCGAGTGTAAAGTAGCATCGTTTTTGTGGCGTTGTGGCTCCCTCTTCTGGACAGTTTGTGTAAATGTTTTCAGACAAAGACGCAGTGACTGGAGTTTTCTTTTTGTTTTTTTGTTTTTGTTTTCGTGATAAAAACCTGACTCGTGGTTTCGATGTTAAAATCTGGTTGATTTCCTGCTTCTTTCAGTAATTATTACTATTTATCTTTATTTAAATTTATGTAAACTTCATTAAAAATTGTGTATCTGTGCAAAATGTGGACGTCAACAAAACTTCAAAAAACTTCAAAAAACTCGATCACGTAAAACAAACGATACAAATTCAATCGGAAAAGTCAGAATTTAAACTTGTTATTTTTCCTTTTTTCGTGAACTTATTATAAATATTATCTTCTCTTATCGATGGAGCATGTTTATTCTACTTTTTAACTTTTAACGTTTTTATTTTATTTTATTTTTTTCTGTAAAGATCAGACGGCTCAAAAGCGTCCTGTATTTATTTTATTTGAATTAAACTGAATTTGTTGAACTGAACCGTGTGAGTGAAATGATTAAACCGACCACCAGAGGGCGACACAGCACAAAGAGAGAACAGGGACCAGTTTAGACCTGGTTTAGACCAGGTTTAGACCAGGTTTAGACTTTGATTTAGTCCCGGTTTAGTCTCGGTTTAGTCCTGGTTTAGACCTGGTTTAGTCTTGTTTTTAGTCTTGGTTTAGTTCTGGTTTAGTCCTGGTTTAGTCCTGGTTTAATCCTGGTTTAGATTTTGATTTAGTCCCGGTTTAGTCTCGGTTTAGTCCTGGTTTAGTTCTGGTTTAGTCCTGGTTTATTTTTCAGTCTTTAAATCTCATTCATCTGTCTCCTTGTTTCCTTCCTCCCTCCTTGTCTCCTAGCTCCTTGTTCTCTCTCTCCCTCTCTCCTCTTCTTCTTCCTTCCTCATCGCTCTAACACTTTTATCGACCGCACATCTCTTCCCTCTCTTCCTCCTCCTTCTGTTCTCCTCCTCTCTCTCCTCTCCTTCTCTCCCTTTTGTTCCCTACGATCCTCCTCTCCTCTTCTCTCCTTTCCTCTCTCTCCTCCTTCTCTCCCTCTTTCCTCCTCCTCTCTTTCTCTCTCTCCTCCTCTCCTCTCTCCCTCCTTCCTTCTCTCCTTCCCTCTCTACTTCTCTTTCTCTCCTTTTGTTTCCTATGGTCCTCCTCTTCTCTCCTCCTCCTCTCTCTTTCCCTCTCTCCTCTTCTCTTCTTTCTCTTTCTCTCTTTCCCTCTCTCCTCTTCCTCTTCTCTCTCTCTCTCTCTTCTCTTCTTCTCTCTTCTCTTTCTCTCTCTCTCTCTCTCTCTCTTCTCTCTCTCTCTCTTCTCTCTTCTCTCTCTCTCTCTCTCTCTTCTCTTCTCTTTTCTCTTCTCTCTCTCTTCTCTCTTCTCTCTTCTCTCTTCTCTCTCTCTCTCTCTCTCTCTCTCTCTCTCTCTCTCTCTCTCTCTCTCTTCTCTCTTCTCTCTCTCTCTCTCTCTCTCTCTCTTTTCTCTTTCTCTTCTCTTCTCTTTCTCTTCTCTCTTTCTCTTCTCTTTCTTCTCTTCTTTCTCTTCTCTCTTCTCTCTTTCTCTTCTCTCTTTCTCTTCTCTTCTCTTCTCTTCTCTCTCTCTCTCTCTTCTCTCTCTCTCTCTCTTTCTCTTCTCTCTTTCTCTTCTCTCTCTCTTCTCTCTTTCTCTTCTCTTCTCTTCTCTCTCTCTTCTCTTTCTCTCTTCTCTTTCTCTTCTCTTCTCTCTGTTTGTTTTCCACATATGGAACAGATCTTGGACTTTGGCGAGTTTCTTTGTGCCACGTTTCACTCTCGACTTTCTCTTCCTCCAAAAAAGATTCTTCACATTCTGAGACCAAAACCAAAAGACCAGAACTAAACCAGGACTAAACCAGAACTAAACCAAGACTAAACCAGGAATAAACCAGGACTAACCCAGGTCTGGAACCAGACCAGAACCAGACCCTAACTGAGCCCGGAAACAGGACTAGGACTGAGCCCGGGACCGAGACCGGACCGGGACCGGGACCGGGACCGGGACCGGGACAGAGACCGGGACAGAGACCGGGACCGAGACCGGGAATGAGGCCAGGACCAGACCAGAACTAAGACCGGGACCAGACCAGGACTGAAAACAATTTAATCCTGGTTTAGTCCCGGTTCAGTCCCGGTTTAGACCTGGTTCAGTCCTGGTTTAGTCCTGGTTCAGTCCTGGTTTAGTCCTGGTTTAGTCCTGGTTTAGACCTGGTTTAGTCCTGGTTCAGTCCTCGTTCAGTCCTGGTTTAGTCCTGGTTCAGTCCTGGTTCAGTCCTGGTTCAGTCCTGGTTTAGTCCTGGTTTAGACCTGGTTTAGTCCTGGTTCAGTCCTGGTTTAGACCTGGTTCAGTCCTGGTTTAGACCTGGTTCAGTTCCTGGTTTAGTCCTGGTTTAGTCCTGGTTTTAGTCCTGGTTTAGTCCTGGTTTAGCCTGTTTCCTGGTTAATCCTGGTTCAGTCCTCGTTCAGTTGGTTTAAACCTGGTTCAGTCCTGGTTTAGACCTGGTTCAGACCTGGTTTAGTCCTGGTCTGAGTCTTTGAGTCTTTGACTGTTTAAAGCCCAGAGTCGTGCAGATGGAAAAGTTCTGCAGAAGAAATCAGAGTCCAGAGAGACGCTTATGTAAGACCAGACCAGACCAAACCCAGGACTCAGACCCAGGACTCAGACTCAGACCTGGACCTGGACCTGGTCCCACTGATCTGAAAAAAAAAAAAAAAAAAAAACACCCCTCGATTTATGTTCTGTGTCCATCGTGGCAGCCACACCTCTGTCCATCTGCCCCGGGGCACAGAGACACATTAAGACCTGGTTTAGTCCTGGTTTAGACCTGGTTTAGTCCTGGTTTAGTCCTGGTTTAGTCCTGGTTTAGTCCTGGTTTAGTCCTGGTTTAGTCCTGGTTTAGTCCTGGTTTAGTCCTGGTTTAGTCCTGGTTTAGTTTACTTTTTTTAAAAATAGAATTAAATAAAGCAGACTGAAGGTTGTTGTGGTAGAAGCAGCGTGAAGCTTTGAGACATTAACATTAGACATTAGGAGTCCTGAAACACCAGACACGACAGGTTTAAAGGTTGTACAGAGGATTTTTTTTAAGGGAAAAGAAATACAGCGACTGTCCTTGTGCATGCGCGACACCACCTTCCTCCTCCAGCTCCTCAGTAGAACCACCTCCTCCCGCCTCTTACTCTAGAAATCACGTTTGTTTACAGCCAGTGCGTGTTCAGGATTACTGTTGAAGTTTCCTGTCTAGAGGTAATTTATCGACCGACGCATCAGTTTTTAGACCCTTCGTCCGCTTCAGTCGCACCATCGTTGGAAGGAATCTCCAAGAATC